TTAATATTTAATAAGAAAATAAAAGACTATTCCCAACATTTTAGACAAATGACATTAGCAACAGGTTTAAAGGATTCCGCGGAACACATCAAATCTATCTTCTTTTTATTGCTCATATTTTTATTTTATTGTCAAATTCCTTTTTATTTATAAAACTTGTGAAATTGGGTGAGGTTCCTTCCGTTTAATTCTTTTAATGGGGGACAAATTGGTTTGTTTTGACAAACCAGCTGATAAGTTGCAAGCTTCTGCAGGAATACCGTCTGTTTACTTTTCGCAATTTCCTTGCCAAAGAGAATAAAACTACCTTACTCTCTCAGAAAGATGTTGCTGGACAATTCCTGCAGGAAAAGTAACCAGACACACCTATCTCTGTCAAAAGTTATGGCGTTGCCAGATGGGTCCGTCGAATATGGGCAACCCTGTATCTTTATCTTTATATTTATACAAGTCCGAATTTAAAAGATACAAATGCTTCGGCATATTTAGTCCTTTGAACTTCAAATTACAATTATAATCATAGCGTGTATGATTAAATTCTCCCATCAAATCTTTGAATTGTTATGTGGAGCTCTACTAAATTAGCAAACAAAGACCTAAAATGGTAAAGACTGGACAAATTGCATTATGGAAAAATAGTTAATGTGAAAAATATATAGAGGCGCTGTTCACAACAGTGCCATGTTAGCATAAAAATTATATTTACAGAGCAATTTTAAGAATAAAAATTTCTGTTAACCAAAAATTTGAACTAAAAATTGCATTTCACTGACGTTTGAATATTGCATTTGCTGTTAAAACAACTTAAAATTGGTGATTATGTTGTTATGATATCGTAACAACAGAGGTATTTACACCTGGTGGCAATATTTTGACTCTGTCTTGTCCCATCTTTATACTTCTATGTCTTTGTAGCAAAGTGGTGTAGGGTATCATAAAGTCGGCCCGCCCGACTTTAGAACATTCTTTACTGGTTTTGATTATCAATCATTATCCCAAATAAACGTATTTTTTTTGCGAAATGCGATATGCCGAGTATAATCATACTGTACCAATAAAATAATTACTGATGAATGTCACACAATAAATTACATACATTTCCACCATATAATTCGCTTCATTTCCTAATGGGTTAGCGGCAGTTGTGTAGTCTATTATTACCGCCAACGGTAAACAACTATTATTATTATTATTGTTGTATCCCAATCTAATTGTAATTTGATATTGCATTTAATTAATTTTCAATTTGGGATTTTGGGCAATGTTACGACGCACCGCGTGCGCCGAGTACTATGACCCCAAACAATCAGTGCTTAGAGTCTAGTCTCTAGTGCTTTAGCGGGATATATAGGATTATACGCATGTATCTGTGCTTGTGTCTATATGTAGTGGCAATTAATACTGCACTCTTGTTATTTCTATCGTTTCGCATCGCTTTTTTGTTAAATTGTGCAACTAATTATTGGCAGCAATTATGGAGAAAAGTGCGAACTAAATTGCAAATTGTTGGTGTTTGTGTATTAGTTCGAGATTGCCATCGAGATTGGCTTGTTTATTCTAATAATTGGGCCACTCACACATGTTCGAACATGAACGCGCGGGGTGTTAAGATATTATGCGTCGTATGTGGCAATTAAAAATGCGGGCAGCGCAGAGTGTTGGTAAATATGTAATAAAGTAATAATGCGATTGTAGCCGTAACAGTATGTAATTTGTACAAATGTGTGTGTGCAAGGGGAATAAATAACACGTCTGTATGAATGAATATATGCAGTAATTCCGAAGGGTGTTTCCCTAAATGGAGGGATAAGTGATATATAAATATTATATGAATGATTTATTTATGTGCATATAAATGTGCAAAGAAAAAAATTACTGTAATTATTGCCAACTGACATGCACAGCTAATTCAATGCGCGGTGCCAATAAACTGTTGAGGATTGAAGGAAAAACTATTATTCTAATGTTGGATTTGACAATGTGAAACAAAATATTTGGAATGAATTGATACATGAACCAGTAAGGAGAGTCAGATGTCGGGCGGGGCCGACTATATTATATACTTCACCAGAATAAACCTGATATCGGATAAAAATATACATGGGAGCTACATCCTAATTTGAATCGATCATGGCAAAATTTATGCACTTATTTCTGAGCTGTATTTGATATCTGGTACAAAAAATCATTGTTGTGGAGTGCATTTTACGCATTTGAGGGTGAATGAGAAGAGAAAACCAACCGAATGGTTTGGTTGTTGATTCAATTCTGATTTTATATTTAAAATATGTTCCTTACGTACTACTGAAAGGAATCTAACTTAACCTATCTATTCTAATATTAAATGGAGAACATTGCAGGGCTACTTGTCATTTCATTCAAGTGGTCTTGCACATCTACTGAGCGCATCGATACCTGTGCTTGTGGGTCATAACCTTTATTATCTCTCGCATTATCGTATGCGTCAGCGCACAAGATCACCGAATTCTTCACATGTGATGTTTTATGGCGGCTGGGAAATAATTAATTTTAGAAAAAATTTTTTATTGCTACATTTTCCCAGCGCCTCAATCGCACTCAAAAGTATGTACAAAGTATTTTGTACAGAGGGAATTAAACCCCCAAAATCGGGTTTCTAGAATGAATTTAGTCGTAATTGCCAAAATTTAGATCCTTTGGGTTCATATTAGATACTTGGTCCACAATAAATCGGATCCGATCATGATAAAATTGGACAGAGGTATTTCTGGGCTGTATCTGATACTAGTACCAAATACCTTTCTTTTGAAGTGCATATTATGAATGGGAGCGACTTAAACACAAAATCGGATGAACATATGTATGGGAGCTATAGATATATCTGAACTGATTTTAACCAAATAAAAGCACCTGTTTATAGAAAAAATTGAGTCGGATGTGCCAAAATTCAGGTCATTTGGACTGATATTGATAATTTGGTGCCTAATCAACCTGAAATTGGTTGAGCCTATATGGGAGCTATATCTAAATTTGAACCGATTCGCAGCAATTTCAAAAGGGTTCGACCTTGGGCCAAACAATTATGCGACCTGCATTTTGTTCAGAAGAATACATGGACCGACAGACAGACGGACGGACTGACATGCATAAACCGACTCAGAAAGTGATTCTATGAAGATCCTCATTATATTGTTTACAAGCGTACAAAAGCATTTTGGAGAGAAAATTTTCCAGAAAAAAATTAATCGTGATGGAATTCAAGCGTAATACTGTGATTTCTTTATATTTGGCTGGAAAACAACAAGTGGCTATCGTTAGAGCACTCCAGCGTTTAAATGTGAATAAATCGTTTGTGTATCGTATCATCGCTCGTTACTGTGATACTGGTAGCGTAGCCCGACGTCAAGAAAGTGGACGGAAGAGAACAGTAACATCAGCAGAAATGGTTCGAAAAGTAAAGAAGCGACGTGATCGAAAGCCGCGTCGCAGTGGCCAAAAATGGCTCGTGAGCTGAACATATCGCCATATTCCATTCGGCAAATATTGAAAAATGAGCTCGGGGTAAAGCCATTGAAATTCCAAAAAGTGCAAGAACTTACACCGCAACAGAAAGAAAATAGACTCTAAAGAGTTGCTTCGTTTGGTCAAAAGTGTTGAACGTTGTCCATCAGTTTGTAAACAAACAAAATGATCGTGTTTATTTGCCAAAGAGGTCAGCTGAAAATGTGCACCTTCGGTTGGCCACCAGAATTCAAGCGCCGACCATGGTGATGGGTGTGGGTCCCCATAAAAGCCGATGGTCGCTCTCCGCTCGTATTAATCGGCCGTGACATCAGAATAAATGCCGAATATTATCGCGAAAATATTCTGGAGGGTATATTAAAGCCACGGGACGGTTTCATTGGCCGTTTGAAGGCCACAATTCGTGCCAGAGGTGAACAATTCGCACAAATCTAAACTTACTCTAAAATTTGATGCTATTTCCGACATTTTTTGCTTTCATTCAATAAAATTTATCTCACAATGTAATATTTTCCAGAAGTCTATTTTCTACAAGGGCAATGATTTGCTCATTTTCACTCGGGAGCGAAGCTTGTTCGCGAGCAAGGTTGCTCAAAGATTGGGAGTTTCTTACAGCGTCTTCTGTTTTGTTTTGTGTTGGAGCACTCCCAAGTCACTCCTGTTTGAGAAATTAGAGTTGGAGCAGAATCGCTCAAAATAGAGCAAAAGTTGTTTGGAGAGTGAAAATGAATGAAAAAAATATTTATTTTGATGTATACTGTAGAAGAGGGGGGGTGGACCTTCAAGATGTATTCTCCCAATAAAGGACCATCAAAAGTTCATGTCATTCTAGAATTCTTCAAACTATACATAAGCTTTTCCATGCCTTCTTCCATAGAAGCCTTTCTAAAGCTTTTCTTTATGTATATAATATTTTTTTGGCGGACTTTTTGACTATTAAAGACCATTGGAGATCTTCTCCCAATATAAAAATTTCTAGAATACTTTTTCTTATAGAAAACATTTTATATACTTTTTTTGTTATAAAAATATTAAATTTCCTTGAAAATCCTTAAAGGACTTCATCAAGTATTCCTTCCATTCAAGATTTTTTATTTATTATCAGACCTTCTGATAATAAATAAATATCAGACCTTCTTCTAGGGATCATTCTAGAATAGAAGGTCATCTTAAGATTATTTCCCCGTAGAAGTCCTGCCATAAGCCTTTTTTCTTTAGGAAATCTTCTTAATGTCTTAGTTTTAGAGAAGAGCTAAAAGTTTTCGGTATTCATTTTTAGTAGACCCACAATTAGCGTTTTTTCTTTTTCTCTATCTTTAGAATGAGTTTTTTAAGACGAAGACCTTGAAATAATGATTATTGGATCCTCCTTTAGAAGATATTATTCATTATGTCCATGGAAGACCTATAATGTCTTCTTGTAAGGGTTTTTGAAAACTTTTAATTATTTTTATCCACTAACAACATATATATTTTGTATTCTTTCTTTCCAGCCAGAACGGATACGTCTGCGTGACAGTCACTATAAAAACGCTCTGCATTATTGTGCTGCTCAGAGTGTGGCGAGAACAGGCGATCTCGTGGCTGCCGCCAGTATTGCCGTCGCAGCTCCAGAACTGCTGGAGTCTGCCGACGAAGATGGCTTTACACCGCTGCACTTGGCTGTTATTCAGGGCAACTTGGCAATGGTCAATTTGCTTCTAGCGAACAAAGCCGATGTGAATGCGGTGGATAAAGAAGGGCACTCGGTGGTGCATTGGGCAACAGGTGAGATGGAAGAATTCTGCGTATAGTTTCTAAATCGTTTCAATGTCTTTCTTTTAGTCTGTGGTGAGGTGGCAGCCTTAAGGGCTGTCTTGGCTGCGGGCGCCAATGTGACAACACCGGACATTAATGGTGGCTCTCCGCTACATTATGCCGCCCAGATGTGTGGAGCCACTTATGAGGGTAAATTGAGTCAAGCTAGTTCCCATAAATTGGCCTTGGAAATTTTGGGTATTCTCTTGGCTCATCCGCAGTGCAGTGTGGATGTGGAGGACAAAGATGGACGTCAGCCGTTGTTGTGGGCTGCCTCTGCTGGTTCGGCCAAAGCCATTTTGGCTTTGGTTAAGGCGGGAGCAAGGGTTGAAACAGCCGATAAGTTGGTTTTGTTGAGAGATATTTTTAAGATTGCCAATTACATGTGTGTTTGTCTTGTTACAGGGATGGCTTAACGGCCCTACATTGTGCTGCCTCTCGGGGTCATACGGAGTGTATTGATACGCTCATCAGTCTCTGTGGAGCTCCCACGGATCTCATCGATTCCAATGGTTGTACAGCCTTACATTATGCTGTCACCTTGGGCCATGCAGATGCCACATCACGTCTGCTGGACTTTGAAGCTGATCCCAATCGCCAAGATCGTAAGGGTCGCACACCAGCCCATTGTGGTTGTGCCAAAGGACAATTCGAGACAGTGAAGCTTCTAAAGGAAAGAAATGCCAATTTGTGGTTGCGTAATGCCAAGGGCGATCTTCCGTTGCATGAAGCTGCTGCCTCGGGGCGTCGAGAATTGGTTGAATGGTTGTTGGAACAAAGACCCAAGCAGGTGAATACCACCAGCAATGATGGGCGAAGTTTGCTGCACATAGCGGCATATAATGATTACACAGATATGTGTAAGCTGTTAATTGACTATGGAGCTGATATCAATGCTGTATATCGGAATTCCAAGGGCATAGTCATCACACCTTTAGATTGTTCGCTCCAAAAGGGTCACAGATCGACAGCAAAGTTTCTACAGTCCCATGGCTGTTTGCCGGCTGGAAAACTTAAATTGGCTGCCCGACGTCCAAATCCATTTACTCAACCTCCCATGGAGGCCGTAAAGCCTTTGCAGTATGTAGAAAAGGAAGAGATACACGACCTTAGTAACTCCAAGAAATATGTTGTGTACTTGAAACGTTCCGAATCGGATGGAGCCGAGGATGGTAACTGCAGTTGTTCGGAACAAACCTATCGTCGGGAACAGCGTTATGCCCACATTTGTCATAGGCATCGTAAAGGCAAAGGACGCCACTTGAGAAGGCGCACAAGCAGTTGTGGGGATCCCAAGGAGTCCGATCACGAATGTAGTGGAATGTGTCGCTCCAAGAGTAATATTGAGATTCGGCGTCGGAAATCACGAGAACGTTATCTTAGCTCAAGCGAGTGGGAGGATGACGAAGATGACAGTGATTCCTGTGAAAATTGTTGTTATCATAAGCGGCAAAAGCAACGGGTTTTACACAAGAAACGCTCCATATCAAACAAGCGTTCGAAGGATGCTATCGATTCAGATGGAAAACATGAGGGTGGGGGTATAGAGGAGGCACAAGCAAAAGCTGCCCAAAAGTCAGGAGATCTGGAGGTACGGGAGAGTGATCAAAGTCCTGAAGCCCTGATAGTACCTGAGGATGCAGCTAAGCAAAATACAGCTGAAGCACGTGGCAAGGGAGAGGAACAGCCAGAGTCCACTGAACAAGTTTTAAGTCGTTCGGCCTCACCAACAAAACCTTCAGTTCCCTCAACTCCCACCACAGCAGTCAAGGAGGGTACTTTTATTAAAACTCCGCCGGCACCGGAGGAAGAAGCTGATACATCTGCTCTCATCTCTGGGGCAGAATTTACCGATGATGATGAAAATGCCTCCAAAAGTATTGTTACCGAAGTTCAAGTCCATCACCCAGCAGAGGATGAAGGAAATATTAGTGAAAAGCCAGAGGGAGTAGCTGTCGATGCTCAAGAAAAGGAAGAATCAACTGAAAAGGTTCCTTTGGAAGAAGAAGTAGCCAAGCAAGTTGAGGAAATTGTGGATACTGCCACCGCCATAGCTGAAACTGCCACAGCACCTCCTTTGGCCCCTGAAACATCTACGGATGCTGAGGATCAACAAAAGGCAATGGATGAAAAGGCTACTGAAGCGGAGGAATCCCAACCCCAAGAACAAAAAGATGGAACTACAGGCCAAACAGATCGCGTTCAACCTCAAGAAACTTCAGAAGACCTTGGAAAGCCTTCCAAGGAAAACATGGAAACAAATCTAGAAACTCCTGTGCAAGCCAATCAAACTTCAGCTTCACCTCTTCCACAAACTTCCGAAGCCCATGAAATTCACGATATTCCACCACAGCCAGAACAACCAAACCAAGAAGAAGAAAAAGAGACCCACACAGAAGCCGCAGCTGACAAACCAAGTGAAACAACAGCTTCCAACCCCCAAACTACCTCAAATGATTTACCACCACAATCCAATGCGGCCAATGCTGAAGAAGCTCACAAGATCTCCTCAAAACAAAAAACAAATGAAGAAGAACGGGACGACGAAGACCTCGATGAACGCCCCCATCCAGTCAGGGAACAAGAATCAAGACGTTCATTTACCTTACTTCCATCCGACTCAGCTGAAGATGAACCAGCCATGGAAGTACAAAAAGAGGCACTGAGACGTAAATCTAGCTTCCAGGTTTTAAAAAGTGATGATTCCGTTATTGAGGTAGATGATTCCAATTCTGCACGCGACGAAGTGGAAATGAGTGATTCCACAGTTTTCAAGGTTCTCACCAGTCCCCAAACACAACTCTTCGAGGCAGATTCGAATCGTTCCGAAGAGGTGACCCTACAAGATGATGAACACGAAGATGAAGACGAAACGCAGACTCAAAAACGTTTTCGCCCGCAAGATGAGCCCATCTCACCATACGACTATGCCACAGGACGCAAACGACGCCTCAAGAAACGTGTCAAAAGTGGTACGAAATCACGTAGCAATTGGCAACGCACCGAAGCAGAAGCTGCTGAAATGCAACAAAACACAAGAGATCAAGATTCAGGATTTGAGCCCAGTCCTCGCACGTTGAAAACCAAAATACCCACACCACGCAACATTTACACGGCTCATTTGCCACGTCGTCCATTGTACACCACCCTGGATGGACGTTCGTGCAGTAGCCGTTTGGAAAATCGTAAAGCCGGTGACAAAGGTGCTTGTGATATGACAGCCGTTACGAGATCTATACAAAGAAACATCCGAAGGTAAGTGTTGTGAGGACATTCATCCATCCATCCATCAGAGTGATTAACTCCTGCTTCTGCTCCTGGTTCTTGTTCTGCTCTTGTTCTCAAAACTAATTTCGCTTTTAATTTATCGCCTCGCCACTGCTGCTGCCATTTGCTGTCATCGTGGGCTTAATTTAACTCTGTTATGGGATTACCTGTAACGACTTGTGGTTGTTGAACTTGTGCACAGTGGTTCGGAAACAGTAAGACAATTTGCATTGTTATCTTTAAGTAGGCAGTAGAACTGCCAATGTTCCAAAAATGAAACGATTCTTTCTAAATGCAAATAATATATATGACATTAAAAATAGTAAATAACTAGTAAATAGTAAGAAGCTTAAAATTCTACGACGATTTATGCCTGTCCATCCGTCTGTCCGTCTTTTGTAAAAATCATCCAATTGCTATATTTTCCAATTACAAATATTAACACTTTTTGTTTTATTCGTTCACAAGAAAAAAGAAATTGTTCAATTGTCAATGTTGAAAATGTTCAACTTTGAAATTTTTTACGCCCGACATATTTGGATAACATTCATATAAATACATGTGGTTTACTTGTGTGGTCCTCGGTGTACGTCAAATTTTAGATAACGCTGTAATGGTATAAAATTCTGAGAGACTGATAGAGAGAGAAATATTTAAAAATAAAAATCTGGACATTTGTTATTATTACTGACTCGAAATAACAAATTGGTGTTCATTCGGATGGAAAATAATACCAGCGGCTTTAATCGCTATATATATCCTGAATATATGCCGAAATTTGAACATATATTGAAGTCCATTTGTTTTCTCTTCAAGAAGAGAATCGTTGTCAAAAATGAAAAGATCTAAAGCAATATTGAATGTTTTTTTGACTCGTGGTGCCTCAAAGTGTCATTGAAGTAATTGCCCTACAGAGGGTAGTATCATTTAATATCGGCACAATATGTATCATCGATATAACGATTTGGAATCCTACGTCTCTTCGGAAAAAATAGTTTCAGGATATTTGAAGTCCACCTAGCCATGTGCCACTGGCCTATATACCTTATCGGCGTAAGATATATCGCATTTGATCTAAACTTGGTACATCATAAAATCTTTATAGACCTTACATTAAGTTTGAAAACCGGCAATATCGGCTCACTAGCTCAGATTTCACGACTACATTTGGAAACAATCTTTTTTTTACCCTCCACCATAAAAAGGAGGGTATATTAATTTTGTCATTCCGTTTGTAGCACCCATAAATATTCGTCATAGTCTGTCTGTTTGTCTGTTGAAATCACGATAGAGCCCACATTATTTGATGAGAGCTTCAAAATTTGGCAGAACAATTTGTATTATGTCTAGGATGGTTGGCATTGAAACTGAGATATATCGGTCCCTGTTTTACCGGAATTTTTGTAAATTTGGTATTTGAAGTTCGTAACGGATACTACAGCCTGTAACAGAAAACAGAAAAAAAATTCGTATAGCCCCCATATAACAATACCTCCCGTTATTCGGTATTTTGATGATTTTAGCGACATTATTCCGCGGAATTGTTTCAAATTTGCCATTTGAAGTTCGTCATGGATACTACAGCCTATGACAGAAAATTGTCTGTGCAGGTCCACGTCTTCGTATAGCCCCCTTATAACGGTACCTCGCGATATTCAGTATTTTGATGATTTTAGCGATATTAGTCGCAGGAATTGTTTCAACTTTGCCATTTGAAGTTCGTCATGGATACTACAGCCTGTGACAGAAGATTGGTATGGCCCACATTATGGTACCTCCCTATATCCGGTATTTTGATGATTTTTGCTACACTATCCACCGATTTTTTTTAAGTTTCGCATTTGAATACTATGATAAAAATTGGCTATGCAGGTCTACGTCGTCGTATTTTTAACGGTTTCTATTTTTTTTTAAATTGCCAAATTTGTTTCAAATAGTGGAGGGTATTCAAGATTCGGTCTGGCCGAACTTACAGTTTTTTTTCTTATTTATATTTCATCCAGTACCTACCTCACAAAGGAGTTAGGTAAAAACACCGTATATCTCTATTGAACAACATTAGATCTCAATATAACAAATAATAATTATAACTCTCATAAAAAGTTAAAAAGGCTACAATCGGGCGAGGTCGTTCATGGAATTTCCATATTAAAAAAGAAAAAAAAAAAAACTATAACCATTTTATGTTACGGGCATGCGTCTGATATTTCAGAGATTGTTCGCGTATTGTTCTTAACAATTTCAGTCAAACATATAAATACAGGGTGAGATAAAAAAAACTGCAACAAAGTCAAACGCCATAATTTCTACATTTTTTTAAACTTTAATTGACTGAAAGCAAAAAATGTCGGAAATGGCATCAAATTTTAGAATAAGATTAGATTTGTTCGAATTGGTGGCACGAATTAGGGCCTTTAAATTGTCATACGCTATCCGAATGTTGTTCTGCGGTATTTTGGCCCACTTCCGGCGAAGCGCTTGCTTGAGGTGATCGACACTTTGGTATTCTTTAGTGCCAGCCTTGCATTCCAAAATACTCCAGACACAATAGTCCACATTTGTAACCATTCTTGGGTGGCGCGTGCTGAGTGGAATGTCCAAGGTCTGCGGCCAAAATGTTTGCGTGCCCAAGGCTTTAATACACCCTCCAGAATATTTTCGAGATAATATTCGGCATTTATTCTGATACGAGCGGAGAGCGACCATCGGCTGTTATGGCGGCCCACACCATTACCATGGCCGGCGTTTGAGTTCTGGTGGCCAACCGAAGTTGCACATTTTAAGCTGACCTTATTGGCAAGTAAACACGATCATTTTGTTTGTTTACAAACTTCAGGACAACGAATGTTTTCTCATCGGAAAAAACCAAACTCGGCAGTTCTGTTGCTGCTTTTCTTTCGCCTACTTCCTTGACGTCGGGCTACGCTACCAGTATCACGGTAACGAGCGATGGTACGAGACACAAAAGATTTATTCACATGTAAATGCTGGTGTGCTCTAACGATCACCACATGTTGTTGTCTAGCTAAATATAAAGAAATCACACTATCACGCTTGAATTCGATCACGAATAACATTTTTTCTGGAAAATTCTCACCAAAATGCTTTTGTATGCTTGTAAACAATATAATGAGCTGTCACTTGAATATTTGTAACAACTGCCGGACGAGTGGCTTAGAAATGACAGCAGTCTAAAGTTTGTTGCAGGTTTTTCATCTCACCCTGCACATTTCTCATATAGGTATTTCAAACGTAGTTTCCTTTAAACAGGAAAGTATAATATAGAACATTTAATCAATACACGGATAATGTAGAGCCTTACAAAATACTTGCCCTGAAACAGCGGAGTTGATTTGAGGACAACTCTACAAAAATTATGTAATAGCGAAATTTAAAATATAACGTCTCTCCCGAAACACTGTCTTTCAAAAGAACAAAAATCCACTTCCTAATGCTTCTTTTTCATCATCACCTTGATCCCAACCTTTGCAAGTGTCTGTTGCTTTTCGAGCTTTGTACATAGATGTATGTCCTGGATGGTAATGATAATAGCATGGCGTTTTTTTTTTCTTTCTTTTTTGCCTCTGTTTAAATTATAACAACACTCTTACGCTCTTCTTGCTGTAGCAGAAATGCTATTAAGACAACGACGACAATGAAAATGATGTGGCCAATGTCTGCTGCCGCTGTGGCTTCGTCTACGACGGCTGGAAAAGTTAATTTTGATGAAATTTAATAGAGGTCCGTCATTTTTCATCTTTTGGTAACGCGACATCGACAGTTTGCTTTATGACAATGTTTGACTCACTGTTGACGGCAGTAACGGCGTTCTGTCTAATTTGAGTCTTGGTATTATCACCATTACAAAGATTTATTTTGGTTTCTTTCTAGAGAAGCTGTATAGTTTGTTCGTTGCCGCTGTGGGTTAAGTACAGTTTCCACTGGCTCTTTGGCCATTTACATTAAGGCTATTTAATGTGATTAACACCAATGAAAATTGTGTTTTTATGAGATTTTTTCTTTTTTTAATTTTAGTGTTGGTCGCTGTTTTAGGGATAATAAAATAAGTAGATTTAATATGGAACTATGGAGAGCTCAGACAGTGCAAAAAAATCTTGGGAAAAAAACTATGAGACCAATTTATTACAAAAATAAAATGCATTTATTCTCTGTTCGAAGACCACGTATTCTAGATAAAAATTAATGAAAATGTGGGATTTCGAAGGTCACAAAGATTCGTATGAAATAGGATGGGTACATATTGGTTTAATAGTTAATTAGATATTAACGAAAATAATTCGGAACATTTTTGGTTTTTTTAATATACTAGTTGAACCGATCAACATATCATAAGGAATACTTACGTTAAAGTTTTTTTCTCCGGTTAAACATCTTTATGAAGATTATGACAAGTTAAACCGGCTAGGTTTTCTAAATTCTTTACAACATTAACGTCCATTTCTTTATAGAGCTCAGTATTAATAATGAATCTAGGAAATATTGCATACACACTTGTATCACCAGTTCGTTCTTTATTAAAGGTCTCCTTATTAGCATATATTTTCGGAATGCTGAAGGATCAATCACCGAATTGGGAAAAATTTCTAAATAGAATAAATACTGACTGCAAATTTTTAATATAGCGGGAAACGGTATTTATACCCTACAAACCATATGTTTTGGGGTATTATATGTTTCGCATCATTTTGTATGGAGGTCAGAATAAAAGCCTATTGTTTTTGGAAATTATCGCAAAATATGAATCAAAAACAGAAAAAATCCTTAATTTTGCAGTTGCTCTAGAGGTCACAATTATAGACCAATAGATGCGGAATTTTTCATGGGGCCAGAGTTTTGGGCTAATATTTTCATTAGGCCCTAAATATGTAATATATTTAATTCCGGCGCAATCACAAACACACCAAAAGCTATTTCGGACCATGTATTACATATATTGTTGATGTTAATTAGACTACTTGTAACAGTCA